TGCCACATGCACTTCACCATCGCCTGCCAACTGAAGTCGGTCGGTGGCTTAAGCCTCGGAGAGCCGCAGTGCAAGGTATGGGGGCTCTCAGAAAATCCTCAAAGGATCTACTTTAAAACACCGCAATTAACCGCTGGTGATATGAATTGTTTGCGGGCAATTATTATTTGACAAGCGTTTTAATGATTCCAGCCACTTAGGGGCGTAATTAGAGCATCTTTGGCAGCAGGCAACGAGGAACCACGAAGGAGCGCCTCGAATCATTTGCAGTGGCAATTACACTCATAGAAATTTTTACCCTAAATCGCCCTAAAAAACTGACTTTTCGCCCGTGGATTTAGAAAATCGCCCATAAATCGTATCCGCTGGCGATTCGCCCGTGTATTTAGAAAAATTTTCTAAAAAATCCCTATGGAAATTTGGTTTAATTTAGGGTGATTTTTCTTGTATTGAGAAATATTTTCCTATTTTTAGGGTGATTTGCCCTAAGTTTAAGGCGTATTTTTCTAAAAGTAAGGGCGAACTTTCTGTTTTTAAAGGCAAATGCCCTAAAAAATTATGCAAATTAAAAAAATCGTGTTTGAGCATGCTTAACTGAATTTGGGAAGCATGTATTTTAGTCGTGTATATTCTGGGAACTGGGACTGCTTTAATTAAACAACACCGACGGAGGAGACCGTTGCATATTATTGTATTGGTGTGTAGCTTATATGGGAGCTGCGTTAGGAGGGGGGCCCGATCTATACAACACAGCCGTTAGAACTGAAAAATCATGTTTGTAAACGAATTAGGGAAATAAATATGAGGAGAAAAAACAACTTACTTTTTTTGGTCATTGCGAGAATCGAACCCACGACCTCTCGGTTTAGAGTCTAACGTTCTACCGCTGCACCACAGACCCATCGCGCAAGACAACGAACAAACTCTGCAGACATCTTATTTTCCTGAGGTCTACGTTATAATTTGACTAAAGGCAACTAAACCGAATATTTTTTTCCTGACGACTGTGACAATTAGTCCCGTTTTCTTGCCAGCAAACACAAAGTATGCTTTTAACTCAGAACTCCCATACGTTTTTAAGGTTTAAAGACTACTTTAATTTAAAATTCGGACGAAAAAATGTCCTTAGTATTATAACGTTTACAAAAAAAAAAACATAAAAATCAAGTTGAATCACACAGGGTTCGAACCCACAACCCCACGACCTTAGTCCTCATATAGCAAAGTTGAAAGCGCAAGTGATTAGACCGCTGGGCTACCGAATTTCACACTTTTGGAGTGATTTTTAAGGCGAATCGCCCTTGTATTTAGACAAATTTTAGAAAAAAAATTAGGGCAATTCGCCGTTGGATTTAGAAAAGGTCAAAACGAAGCAAATCGAAAAAAATCGCCCTAAATATTAGAAAAGTAGAAAAATTAACCCTAAAAATATTTTTTTATGGTCTCCTGCCTTGAATGCATGGCAAATTTGTCGTGAAAATAGAAAATTTTTCTCAGTTCAAGGGCGAAAATTTTTTTAGGGCGATTTTCTAAAATGTAGAAAATTATTTTTATGAGTGTATAATTTCAATTTTACGATTTTTCAAGTACGAGTTTTCCGCAGCCAAAGTCGGTCTGCAGCTTTTCCTGCTTCCGGCAACCCCTGCACTTTCCCTCTTAGCCCACTCTCTAGCATTCCCAATTGTCTGACTTTTGTTTATGCCAGTTGTGTGCTCCGAAGTGCTTAGTTTTAATTCCGTTCCGAAGACAAAGAAAACGAAACAGTGTTCGGACACCTATGGTCAACTAAATAGCAATACTCCAGCTCCAAAGGAAAAAAGAGAGCTTTTCAAATAAGTCGGGTGAGAAAAATAGAGAGACTCGAAAAAAATTAGTTACACTTCATAAAATGTATAACAAATCTACACTTTGGTTAATCAAAAGTAGTTATTATTTTGACAACCACTGTACATATGCAGTCCCAGGACGAGTTCAGTGCAGCACAGTCATTTGTGGAAGTTGGTCATACTTAATTGGAGCTTGTGTTGCGCCAAATGAGTTTTTCCTCTTCAGTGCCACGTGAGAGATTATGGAGAATATTTGTACAATACACAATTCAGCACAACAATGGAGCGGCACTTGCTTAAAGACTCACCGCTCTATCATTAGCACAAAGACCAGGATAATCAAACGACTTCACGTGCCTGAAATGGATTCCGTTTCCGATTTCCTTTCTCGCCCAAAAACCGATTTGATTTGATTTCTCCTTGCCGCCGTGTCAAACGTGTTGGGATCCCTTCCCCAGCACATTGGAAAACATTTACATTTGCTCCGATTCGTGCTCGTTAACAAAAGATACATATGTATCTCGTAGGTATTTGGCTTTTGTGCTCCGTGCGCGCAATGTGCTCGGAGTTTTTCTTATTCCCTGCTGCTTGGTTGGATTTAAATGCCGAATTTTCAATGCAGCACACATCATCCCGAGGACCCAAGGACATGTGCTCACCTGTATATCTGTATCTATACCTGTGTATCGCGAGTGCGAGGGTGTAATCACTTGTACTTAATATGCAGATGATGACAATGTGACAATCAAACCGATTCCAGGTCGCCTGGCACTTCTGCCTCGGCTTTCCGGTCTCTCACCCCTGTACCGCCTTATGTTATGCGAATCGGATTATTATTATCATTGTTATCGTTATCGTAAAAAGCAAAGGCAGAATGCGCATTTTCCTCTTCCTTTGAAGGCGCAGATTCCCCCGGGGCATAAACGCATTAGACTTCGCCTCTGTCGGCACTTTGAATCCTAAAAAGGCAATTTGTTTGCATTATGATTTTTATCTTTCTGCTCGAATTGTTTGTTTTCATTTCGAATTGCTAATGTAGAACAAAATATATGGCTAATTTAAACATTTTCGCGAGGAGCGTACGTATTTACTATGTTCTATTCTGGTATTATATTGTTGTTAAAACCGGACCATTCAATAAAAAGTTATGAGGAAATAAAGAAATGCAAGCAATGGAAGCAGTCGATTTACTGCTTTAATAACTTCATTTCACATACCCCTTAGCTTGGTAACGGGTATCTGATAGTCGTGGTGCTCTACTATGGCGTTCTCTCCAGCTTTAAAATAAATTCTATGCAATGTCATATATAAGATAAGATAACTTCCCCTTATTGTTCTGAAAATTAAATCATGAATTGATGCCTTAATAGCGGTGGTTAATCATATTTGTATCCGCCGGGGCAAAAAGTTTCTCATTTTTTGGAGCCTCTACCTCCGCACACACTCATGGCGGTCATTTCATTTGGAAAATGCACATTTTCATCTGGCATGTGTTAATGCACTGGCCGGCGAACGGAATGCAGCTGAGTTTGTGGTATAACTTCATAAAAATGCCAACCGGTTGCACTGCAAGATTTACTGCAGGCAGTGAAAAAAAAAAACAAAAATGCGAAAAGGAAACCAAACCGTTGCCAGTCAAAAGTTTGGCTGCGATAAATGGACTGACGAACGCGAAAGGATAACAGCAGGATACATCGTTCTGGAATACAAATGTGGGGAGCATGTTTGTTTTTACCCAATTTGTTGCTGCCCTTTTGCGTTTTTGCTCTACGGCATTGTTTTTCGGTGAGAACACACTCGAGGCACAAAGGCGGAGGGGAGAAGGCAGGGCAGGGCCCTCGACATTTTAACTGAAATGCAACAGGAGGCCGCGTGTTAATGCTGAAAAAAGGACAACCAACCAAGGACCCTTTTGCAGCAAAGTGGCAAAGTCGTGACGAACTCTGAACTCCAGCCAACAGAAACAGCAACAGAAAAAAGCTGAAAAGGGAGTGGGGCAGCTGCCAGCTGGATGTCGCGGTCACTTTTCATGCTTTCTGCTGAGCCTTTTCAGATCCCTTTTTCATTATCCCGGACCGGGCCTGTGCTGAATTTTCTGGGGCGGGCCAGCAACAAATGTCTGGGGTGAAAGTCACGCGCTGAATTTAATGCCCAGCCAATGCCCCCGAAAACGAGGCGTGTCAATGACTCTGGGTCACCAAATTGTCGTCCCAGGCAATCCGATTTCTGGCATCTCGCTGATTGCCCCACACAAGTTGATGGCCAACTTTCAGTTCTCCGCTTTCGATTTCGATGTTACCCATACGCCCCGTTGCACGCACACCAATTGATGGATGGATAGAAATCTGTGGCTGGCTCAATGCCAGAATAAGGCAACCACAGAGTAAAACTTTCCTAGCGTCTCGCGGTGGAAATGTTCTTAAACATCTCACGCAACTGTCGGAGAACTGCCACAAAATTCCAGTTGACAAGAGCCGTTTCTGCGGAGAATATCACATCCCAAATATTTCGTTTTCCTACTTTATTATTAACTAATCACTATGCTTTTAATCAGTGTATTCTGTAATGTAAGAAATAGTTACTTGAATAGTTTGGTATCGTCTTAGACGCTACATTAGTCAATTCTATCGAATTCGCAGATAACAGTGCCACTTTGCAGTGCATTTCCTAGAAATGGAAACATTTTCTCGCGAAAAACTATTATTTAACCAACCAACGTTTGAAATCGGTTCCCTTTCATCTGAAACCCCATACACATAATTTTTGGGGGAACTTAATTAGAATTTTGCTGGGTCTGTGGGCTTCCCATGTTTTGCCTCCGGAGCCCGCATATGTTGCGCAAATTTAATTGCTCTACAAAGCCGCAAAATAGACAAACAAAACAAAAGTTCCCGCACCGCCTACACACCATCGGAAACCATTCGGAAGGAGTTGAACATGAACACAAGACTCAGATTTCGGCACAAAAAACAAAACAGAAGTGCCCGCAGTGGCATTCGCAGTCTGCGGAGGCAATTTCAACTTTTCCCAGTGTGTACTTAATGGAAAATGACTTTATTGTAAGCCGGCCAGCAAGCCTCTAAGCGCCAATTCTCAACACTTGCGCTATTTTATGGAATCTCTTCTAAGCAGGTTAAAAATGTATAAAGTTGGGCAAAATACAACGAATTTTTGTCCACAAAGAAAAGCGTTTTATTTTAAAATTCATCTTCTGGCGGAAACATTGACTCAATGTTGTGGCAGTATGCAACCAATGATCTGTCCTTGTCGTCTGGAAATATTTTCCCCAAAAACTCGAGCAGTCCTGGCTGATTTTGGACTATTTCGGAATACTCTTCAAAGGATATGATTCCATCTTTGTCCGTGTCGAATTTGGAGAATATGAATTCACACATGTCCTGCTCAGAAAAAGAGCCTTAGTCCGAGCCTGTTCTTTTATACTACTCACCGCTCGGAGTTCATTGATCTCATCATCGTCATCGCCATAGAAGAATTTTTCAATGGCCAAGCCGACCACCTCACGATTCAGAACCACTGTACCAGCGCTCGTGAAAACCTATGGTTGATAATAGAGTTTAATAAATGGTTCGTAAACAGAAAGTTGAATTAAACAACCGAGTACTCCTATTAAAATACAAATTACAAAAATGTTTAATTTAGATTTACATGTGTCTATGTTTCATTTAACAAAACGATATCTGTTTGAATTATTATACCCGTTACTCGTAGAGTAAAAGGGTATATTAGATTCGTGCAAAAGTATGTAACAGGTAGAAGGAAGCGTTTCCGACCCTATAAACTATATATATTCTTGATCAGGATCACTAGCCGAGTCGATCTAGCCATGTCCGTCTGTCTGTCCGTCTGTCTGTCTGTCTGTCTGTCTGTCTGTCTGTCTGTCTGTCTGTCTGAACGCTGAGATCTCGGAAACTATAAAAGCTAGAAGATTGACATTTTGCATGCAGATTCTAGGAGTACCTACGCAGCGCAAGTTTGTTTCAAAAGGGTGCCACGCCCCCTCTAACGCCCACTTTCACCTCCCTCTCTCCCAATCCAATTGATTTTCTTGAGGTCTTGGTATGCAATCCTTTAAGTTTTTGCAATACCTTTCGATTGGTGTATTACTCATTACGATCGGACTATCACAGCAGATTTTCAATTTTGCGGCTATATAATAGTAGTCGCCTTCGCACACTCTCCTGGTGCGCTTCGTCACTACATGGACTGCCGTCCATAGTGATAGTAGTGCTTATTTTGTTAAATTTATTTTGAAATTCTGAAATACTAAAAAATATTATATCCAAGAGTAGAAGATAATACAATAAATATTAACGAAGTTATAATTTTTGTCCTCTTAAGGACTGACGGACATGTCTAGATCGACTCGTCTAATAATGCTGATCAAGAATATCTTTTGCAATCTTTTAACTGAAATCAATAACCCTCTGCCAGGAGATATTCAAGGTGTATACAAAAATAATTATCGAAGCCTAGAAAGTAAACTTATTAATCTATATCAAAATTATAAAATATTGGAATCTGAAGACAGAAACACAACCAATTATCCTGGAAAATAGCCACCTCAAATGCAAATTTCATTCGCTCCTGCAGATTTCCGGTGAAGAAGACGCAAAACAGTCGCATCCAGGCTTCTGGAGAGACGGAGCGACCGTCCAGCGTGATATTCATCAGAATTCGGTCGATGATCGTTGTATCGAAGATCCCAAAGCTGACGAGGAATAGGTTGTAGAGCTGGTTGGTGGACATCAAGCGGGATCCGTTGTTGAGGGCATATTTGTAGAACACGATCAGCAAGCTGACCACATCGTTGGAAGAGAATTCCGTAGAGGCGGTGAAGCTCTTGATCAGACTATTGTATATCGTGAGGAACTTGTTGTTGGCCATGTCGTCCAGGGTGAGGTCGATGCGATTCATTGTGGTTTTAGTTGATTTTTCTTAATTAATAAAAACTTTGTTTTTTTGTACTTTTTTATATTTTTACTGAGTGTTGTTTAATGGGCAGTGTGTTTTGGGTGTGTGATGAAAATGATTAACGTGTGGGGCCCAGGCCTACTTAAAAGTGTGTGGGTTATGCAAGACAAATTGCAAATAGATTGGGTAAGTCGCAGCAGCGGCCCCAAGAATCCCAGGGAATGTAACGAGCGCAATTTAAAAGCAATAAAACAACGCCGCGACATAAAAAATACATCAGCTACGCTACATGGACTACATCTGTCCCCCATTTCGAATAAATATTTGAAAGAAACCCGGCCGAAACACACAAAGGCTGAGCCAAAAGCTGAAAGCTGTGCGCATGAGAAACGCGAATATAATAATCCAAACAAAAGCGCTGAGATGGGTGTAAAGCCTTCCATGTGGAAATTCGGCGGAAATGGCTGTGTAGCCATTTTGTTTGGGGTAACAAATGTTCGGAGTCTCCCTCCCTTTGTTGTGTAATTGTATGCCCCCCTCCACCCGGTACATACACTCACACATGCCACGCCCTGGAAAATACCAAAGAAATGAGGAGGCGGCTGAACCGCCCGACACGGCATAATAACAATAAAATAAGAGGGAAGAGCCTTGAGAAAAAAGGGGAAAGGGCGGCAAGGATTCACGCTCCTTAATGTCTCCAAAGTTGACATCGCCAAGTGTTGGCGGATTTACAGACGAGTTGGGCTGGATTTTGGTATAGAGTTTTGATTGATATATTCTTCGTGCGGCGTTTAAGAGAGACTTACGGCATAAATTTGTTAGGGAAGACAAATTGTGCGGAAACAAAATTGGAAACATTTTAATTTGCATAAAAACGTTTAGACGGGGGCTCTAAATATTTTCAACTTTAGTAAAGCAGGCCAAGAAATCATATGCCATTAAACTCCAATTGATAAATCCACAAAATCATTAGAACACGTTGAGTAACTACCATCACATATAAACCAAAGATAATCAGAAAGCCAACAATAATTCTACCTAAATACTATACTTAAACGACCTCCAGAGAGTAACTGCATCATGGAAAATCTGGACTCTACAATCAATAGCACCGAGAACAGCCGTTTTTCCGCACTTTATGGCGGATTGATCAAGGAGATAGCTGCTAATTCGAAAATGTCGACACTGGACATTACCTGTTTACTCTGCGTCTACTACAAGTTCGTCAAGTTCAACGGTCCGGGGGCCAAGCAGATGAAAAAGAATCAGTTCTACCAGATCTACCTGGTCCTTTTCAACGTGGCCAATGTCCAGGTGATCGAACGCAGCCTTCTGGCCATCACGAAGGATACGAAGTATGTTAGTCCCCAGGCCTGGGTTGAGCTCTTCGAGCTTTATACAACAGAAGATCTGGAAAGGCGCATGCGATTCGCCTTTGAAGTGGGTGTAATATTATGAAACACACCTAACACAACCTAAAGAATTTTTCTTTAATTTAGGTGTATGACACTAAGAACACCGGTGTTATTGATCGCGAACAGGTAGGCGTGGCATGCGAGAAATTCTTTATTGAAGGCGACGACGAGGATGAACTCATTGAACTGCGGGCGGTGAGCTGATTGGTTGTTAATTTGAAATTTCTAAATTATTCGAATCTTTTCTTTCAGGATATGACTGAGTTTATCATGAAGAAATTTGATGTGGACAAGGATGGGGTCATTTCCTTCGAGGACTACTCTTCAGTTGTCTCCCAACAGCCTGTTTTGGTTGAGTTCTTGGGCTGGCTGTTTCCGTCCAACGAAGAGAAGGATGTCATGGCCCATGCTATCAACATTGACTCCATGCTTAGTTATTGTAACCCTGAGTTATAATAGAGTGGCTTTTCTTGCAAAAACATCCAGTTTTTATAATATCGTTTTAATGGTTTTTAATTAATGAGGTAGAGGTCTGCTGGTTGTGACACCTTTTGTGTTTTCCATTTGGTCATTTACTTTTTAAATAAATAATGTTATATAACAACAAAAAGATTACCATTTTGGTTTTAAATTAAAAACATTCTTTTTCGTATGTAAACAAACATTTTGAAATCCGAACCTACTTATAAAACTACTTTTGTTTGTTCCTGTCAAGGATCTTTGCTAGGGCCTTTATTGTTTTCCATCTATGTTAATGATTTACCCAATATTCTGTCCCCTTGGGATGTCCATCTATACGCTGATGATGTGCAGTTTTATGTTAGTAAGCCTCTATGTCAAGTCAATGATTGTATTAGTATGTGTAATACCCTGCTTTTCAAAATTAATACCTGGGCCACAGAAAACGGACTATGTCTAAACCCAAAAAAAAGCAAATGCGTAATTATCTACAAAAAACCCTTCGATACATCGCAACTCCCGAATTTAATAATTGGAAATAGCCCTATCAAATACGAAGAATCGGCAGGCAACCTGGGTATTACCTTTAACAACACGTTAACATGGAGCAAACATATCTCCAGAGCAACTGGGCAAACATATGGGTTTCTGAGACAGATTTCTACTTCTCAGTCGTTCTTGCCAACCCAACTTCGAATGCTAGTGGCCAAAACAATCTTGGTTCCCACCCTGTTTTACGGTGTTCAGATTTTTGGGCACTGCGACACTCAAGATACTCAAAAATTAACTGTTGCTTGTAATTCGATCGTCCGTTACGTGTTTAATCTTCGTCGCACTGACCACACTTCCCACCTAGTCAATAATGTTCTTGACCTTAGCCTTAGTCAGTGGATTGACCTCAAAACATTAACTTTTATTCATAAGATTGTGTGCACCCGTGAACCGTCTTACTTGTTTCAGAAACTTCTTCCAGCTCAATCGCAAAGAACACATAATTTTATTATCCCTCGATATAAAACCTTATGCTCGAAGAGACAATTCTTTATCAATGCAATTCGCCTATGGAACTATCTCCCACATGCTATCAAAACCATTAGAAGCGCGTCTCAATTTAAATCGAAAATCAAAGAATTGATGCTAGATCAAAATTAGTTGCAAACTTATAATCAAATTATCAACCCTACTTTGTTAGATTTTAAGTATTACTTTTAAGTTAAATTATTCTTGTTACTCAATCCGATGTGACTAGCGCAATAAATATAAGTTTTATACTTGTAGCGTTAGGATATAAACAAATAAAAAAAAAAAAATAAATAAGAATAATCCCGATTCCCTTTTATGGTATGATTTTGAAGATATTGTTAAAAATATAATGTTATAAAGGGAAGGCTTTGAGAAAATTGTTTTCGCTTAGAATCAAGATATGTTTGTATAAGTGTCAAAACCACAAAAAAACTGAAAAACAAAAAAAAAACAGGAAAAAGATCAAAAATAGATTAAACAAATCCAAAATAAAAATACCATTAAGATAAATTAAGGATTTAGTCATGGAAAATCTAGACGCCACTATAGATAACATGGAAAACAGTCGATTTGCAGCCCTTTATGGGAGTTTGATTAAGGAGTTGGCCGCAACTTCTGAGATGTCCCAGACGGACATCACTTGTTTGCTCGTCGTTTATTACAAGTTCTCCAAGGCCAACGGACCTCAGTGTAAGAAGATGACCAAGAAGCAGTTCTACCAGATCTTCTTGGTGCTATTTAATGTGGCAAATGTCCAGGTAATTGAACGCACTCTGCTGGCCATTACCAAGGACACGAAATATGTAAGTCCCCAGGCTTGGATTCAGCTCTTTACTCTCTACACAACCAAGGACATCCATGTACGAATGAAATTTGCTTTCGAGGTCAGTATGAGTGTCTTCAACTATGTTTTCATAGGAACCACCCAAATGACTTTTTTTATACAGGTGTATGACACCAAAGGAACTGGCGTTATTGATCGAGAGCAAGTCGGTGTTGCTTGCGAAAAATTCTTTTACGGTGAAGACGAAGATGAGATTAACGAACTTAAAGCGGTCAGTAAAACTTTGCATTACATTTACATTTAATTTTCGTTAAATTTGCCATATTTTTACCCGTTACTCGTAGAGTAAAAGGGTATATTGTATTCGTGCAAAAGTATGTAACAGGGAGAAGGAAGCGTTGCCGTATATATATTCTTGATCAGGGTCACTAGCCGAGTCGATACAGCCATGTCTGTCTGTTTGCCTGTCCGTCCGTATGAACGCTGAGATCAAAAGCTAGAAGGTTGAAAAATCCTACACATATTATTGGGCTTCCTATGCAGCGCAAGTTTATTTTGGCCGGGCGCCACGCCCCCTCTAACGCCCACTATAGCCCACTAACGATTTTAAAATGTGTCTGGCGCCCACACCTTTAAAGATTTCCGAGAAGTATAAAAGCAATTTTGTTGTGTATATTTATACCCATCGAAATGTAGAAGAAGATTTTTTAAATCGGACCATACATTAAAAAGCTATGCGCAATCAAAATTTTATATAGCCATTTCCCCCGCACTCCTTTTAGCTGAGTGACGGGTATTAGATAGTAGGAACACCCACCCGACAATAGCATTCTTGTTTAATTTTGAGTGACTGCAACCATAAGACTGCATTTTTAAAATATTTTCTTTTTAGGACATGACTGAGTTTCTTATGAAGAAGTTTGATCTAGACAAGGACGGTGTTATTTCCTATGAGGACTATTCTACTGTCGTCGAGCAGCAGCCAATTTTAGTCGAGTTCTTGGGCTGGTTATTTCCGTCGAAGGAAGATAAGGATCTTATGGCCCATTGCATTAACCTACAATTGAATCAAAATTAAACATTAAATTTAAAATAGTACCTCTTATTATTATTTTTTGAAATGGTATCGAAATATTATTACCGAATATTTTATTATTGAATTTGAAGATTAATCTAACTTATTGGTCTGTTCAAGACACTTAATTGACACTAAAATGATTTCTATGTGTTAAACACCGTAAAATGCGTACGTGTTGTCGTATTGCCTAAGTTGCTCGAGCTAATTGACTGGATGAATCCATTGTCACGCCCTGAAGTCCCTGATATCGATTGCATTGTCAGAAGACCAGAAATCGAATTAGGAACTATTCAACTAACAAGCAGGGTTTTTGACCGGCAGCAAATGACTTTACAGCAGAATAAAGGCGGTAATACCTTCCCTGCGTAATTGCGGCCTAAGCCCACCTTCGCTGCGGGCATTTGTGGTCGACTAGGGTCCTCGACCTAATTCAATGCATCCCATAATTATATGATTCACCGCAACAGCACATTCCGCTGTGGATGGGATTCAGTGCCAGGTCGGAAGTGGGAAGTCGGTTAAGTAGCTCATTAACTTCAATACGTTTGATTACATTACGTACGGTTTTGTGCGGTGTTCAAGCCAAACAATTTGAGAATTGTGTGCGGCGGCCCTCTCTTTTCCCCATTGCCCTCCGCAACTGATAATTTGCCTGATTCAATTGGCATTTGCAAGTATTTGGGACATGGCTAAGCCACTGAATGCTCACGTATTTGCCATGATTTGGCATTTATGCAGTGGCATTATGTGATGCGAATTGATTTACATTAATTGCTCCCAGCGGGCGGCTTACTTCCCACTATTTAGTTTCCAGAACCACCAGAACCGAAAAACCTGCGCTCGACATCAAAGTTAAGTTACAGCAAGTTTTAGTTTCATTCAAGCCACGAAGCCGGGTTAACTCGATCGACTCGACTGGCTGCAGTTGACAACTTGCAGACTCGAGACCCCATATCAACGGTCTAAGCCAGCATGTGGCCCAAGGACTTCAGTTGGCCAGAACTCCCTGGCCGAGTTGGCCTTTTGTTGAACCGTCGCCCGTCGGCTGTCGGGCAACATGTTTGAGTCTCGCTGGCATCAACATTAATTATCCCTGATAGTAATCATGCAATTTGTACGTGAGCCTGAGCCGAGCTAGCGCTCCTCGGGCCATCGGCATCCATGCTGCGGTCTTTATTGTGGCATTAACAGCAGCATCCGCATGGCCTGCAGCCCCGGCAGCATCATTATGCTCATTATTGTCGTCAAAGGCGTGCAGGGCGTTCTGCCGGGGGCCCGGAGAACCGGGGAACCAGAGAGCCGTAGCACCGGAGACCCACCCGGAGAAAAGGGAATCGAGGCACGGGCACGGCGGCCTGGAGATCCGGGGACAATGCGCGTTTGATGAATTGCATTAGGACATGTATGTAATTATAATCAATTAACCCAGGCGGGCATGTGGTGCCCAGCAATTTGCTCTGCAATTTAAAGGACAAATGAGCAACGTGGAGGTTTTCAGTCTGCATACCTTTGCTATTGAAGATCTTAGCAATAATCTCCTTTAAATGATTTTTATACCCGTTACTCGTAGAGTAAAAGGGTATACTAGATTCGTGCAAAAGTATGTAACAGCTAGAAGAAAGCGTTTCCGACCCCATAAAGTATATATATTCTTGATCAGGGTCACTAGCCGAGTCGATCTAGCCATGTCCGTCTGTCCGTCTGTCCGTCTGTCCGTCTGTCCGTCTGTCCGTCTGTCTGTCTGTATGAACGCTGAGATCTCAGAAACTACAAAAGCTAGAAGGTTGAGATTTTCCACACATATTCTTTGGCTTCCTACGCAGCGCAAGTTTATTTTAGCCGAGCGCCACGCCCCCTCTAACGCCCACAATCGCCCACTAACGATTTCAAAATGGGTCCTGCGCCCACATCTTTAAAGATTTCCGAGAAGTATAAATGCAATTTTGTTGTGTATATTTATACCTATCGAAATGTAGAAGACATTTTTCAAATCGGACCATTCATTAAAAAGCTATACGCAATCAAAAATTATATATCTATCTCCCTCGCACTCCTTTTAGCTGAGTGACGATTATTAGTCGGGACACCAACCCGACACAGCGTTCGCACTCCCTTTAGCTGAGTGACGGGTATTAGATAGTCGGGACAACAACCCGACTATAGCGTTCTCTCTTGTTTTTTTAATGTTTCTTGAATGAATATCTTTAAATTTGTATCCATTTATGGCAAGTTTTTAATAAGGACATTTTTAAATTCTATTGATTAGTGAAACCAAAATTAATAAACTAAGAAAAAAGTAATAAACAAAAATCTAAAATTAAAAAAAAATGTATTATTGTGTTATTAATAAATAAAGAACAAAATATATATATATATCAATCACTTTACTTTAAATACAATTACCAGCTTTAAGGTCCACCCACAAGGACTCCGAGTCCCCAATTGTATGTCCTACGCAATCTAACCGCAGTCAATTGACAATCTTCGGTGATGGCGACAAGTGACTTTTGGGCTATCAATGGCCAAGCCGAGTTGGCAAAGCAAACAGACCATTTAGCTCAGTGGACAATGCAAACTTTGAAGCCAAACGGGGCGGAAAAGTCGACCCGCTGCAATTTTCGATTAAAATTCCAGTTTGCAATTCAATTAAACACTAATTAAAAGACATTTTTCCGCCAAGCGTTCCCTTTGACAACTTGCCTCACTCACTCGCCACTGCCACCGCCACTCTCTCTCGGAGAAATTCTCGTTTTTGTCTCGGGATTCTCGGGGCTCTCGGGGCTTTCCCCGGGGATCTCGGGGCTGTCAAAGCGGCAGCGGATGTTAGGCCACCCACTCGGGATAAGGCGAGTCGACAAATGCGCACAAACTGTGATAAATGAAGGCGAATCGAGGGGCCACTAGGTGCAGGACGGAGAATAAAGGCGGGTCCTGGCATAATGAATGCCATAGAGGAGCCGGCAAGATAAAACACAAGAAAAACGAACCAAAGCAAAGCAAAGCAAAGGGACAGGGACAGAGACAGGAGGCCAAGGAATCAAAGCCAAGTATTTTTTGCTGCATTTCTGCACCGGCTTTTGGCTTTGACTTTCTGTGGGACAGTGTAGGCGAGTGAGTTAATTTCTGGCCAACTCAAAAGCTTCACGGAATTTGAGTTCGTTAAAGTAAATTTCATCTCCGCCTCTTTTTCGCCCTGTGTCCTCATCCTCTTCCGGGTGGCAACTACTTTGTGGCAAATTGAGAAGGGAAACACAAACAAACCCGGTTAAAAGGCTAAAACGTTTGTCAATTGTATCCCAAGCAGGGGGAACCAAATGTGTGTCTTTGCACTCAGGTTTTTTTGAAAACTTCATTAAGTTGGGAGCATCTCAATTATAAAGGTGAACTAAAGAAAGTTTAAGTAGTTTTCGTATATTTTATTTTTTTAGTTTATATAATAGGTACTAAATAATAATGTATATAATGTTTTTTAGAATTATTTTAAATTTATTTGTTTATAAATTTAAAGATATTTTTACGAAAAAAATTTACAGTCTGTTTTATTATTAATATCTCATTCTAAAAATATCTGATTATTTAATTTAATAATATTATACACACAAAAAAAAGCACGTCGCCGTAAAATCGATAAGTCCAGGTAATTTTCTGGTTATTCCTACTCATATCGTTTTTACCTGAAATATTCATAAAATTTACATTAAATAATATCATTTTGCCAAATTCTCTCTCTCGGAGATTCTCTAACTTCGAAAAAGAGCGCAAGAATCAATATGGCGAGCAAAATGACATGAGTGTAAGCGAGAAAGACGTATTCGAAATTCGAACTGACGTACTTTAAAAGCATGTTTTCTCGCTCGCACAAGTATAAGTTTTGTTCGACCATATCACATTTACCTGGCCCCATATCAAGTTAAAAATGATCTTAAAAAAGGTCAAATTGACCTACGATTCATATCGATTCTTTTTTGGGTGTAGGTATTTATTAAATAAATAAAAAATCCAGAATAAAAATCGAAATAGTAACCTGTATTATATGAACCTTAAATTTATCGGGTTCAATGTATTTAAACTATAACCTTTTAAGCTAATCGCTAATAAATCAAACCAGTTGTTTCTCCGCCTTTTTCCTTGTTGTTGCTAGCTTAAATCACTGTATTCAATCTCCTAATTATCAATTTCATTGACTAACCAGCACAACTTTGCCGAATCAATTACCAGAGCTCAGAACTTTGGCTAATTACCCGCCATTTTGTGGCGAATTTTGCAATGCGATACAAAAATGTCGGAGCAACTTAGAGCGGCTAAGTAGATCCAACATCTGAGTGCAGCTCAAAGTCAGGAGCCGTCAAAGGCGGGGGACTTTTGAGCGCTTTCCATTATCCGCTTGGCTGTGCTCGTCAAAGCTCGGAGCGGATGAACTGGCGGATGCATCCTGGCAGGAATGGCGATGGGGAAAGCGGTGGGACTTAAGGGGGCCGTCTTGTCCTGGCCAGAAATATTGGATGGCAATTTGTCGGAAACTGCTTAATTGCATCGCAGCTCAATTTTGCAACCCTTTGCTCCTTTACTCATTCTTGTGGACCCCAACTTTTGTGCACTTGACATCGAACCGGGCTAAATGCCCGTGTGTATCTTCGTTGCCGGCTTAGTTGCATATCATTATGATAAAAGTTCAAATTATTGGCGGTTTTTTCCTTCACAGCATGACCAGCACATTTTTATGGTCCTGCCTCGACCTTCAGGCCCCCGAAAGTTTTATTTTCTTTTGTTGCTCTTGCAATTGCTGTTTTTTTACGCGATGGCTCTCAGCGCACTGAGCCCGGCTAATGCCATAATCCGATTTGGGATTGAAAATTCATAGAATTTTCATAAAAAAGGGAGCAAACAAAGGAAGAATGAAAACAAAAAGAAACCCATACACACCAATAAAAATTGCCAGGACGTGGTCGGCAACGCGAACATAAAAAATAAAGCTTCGTATACGGACGTGATCCTCGACG